CCCATGTGGAGACCGGTTCCCGCTCACTGGCTGAGCGCGGTGCGGGCGCAACACCGAGGGTTGCGATCCCGTTGGGCGCAACACCGAGGGTTGCGATCCCGTTACCGGTCAGTAAAAAAGACAAAAAGGGGAAAAAAAACAAAAACAAAAAAAAAACAACAAGCATCTCTGTAGTTAGACAAAATCAGTTTTGAACTTCAGTTTTGTCTTTCGCTAACCATAAAACTTGGTCACGTCACCTTATTCTTTGAGTTGCCATGTCTCCATGAGAATTGTCATATGAAGCACACTGTTGTGGAAGTAAATGAGATTGATCATTAGAAGCACTGAGCACATAGTAACTGCTCAATAAATGTCAGTTTTCTCCCTATCACTTGTCCTCTAACCTTCAAATCCCAGAGCATCCCACGTGCTTCCAGCCCTGTTTGTCAACACCATTCAGTGATATCAGTAAGAGGAGAGTTTGGTGGAGAAGCACAAGTTTCAGGTCCTCTTCTAATTGTCTTGGGCAGGCTGAGCCTCGCTAATATATGAGCTGGCAGTGAAAAGCCTAACTCCTGTGTTGTACTTTTATTTGCAATGTTCCCTGTCAGGCCAGCTTCCCGATGGCAATCAGCACGTCTGTCAGAGCTGGCACGGGCTATGGGGGAAGTGCTGCTCTCTCTGCTGCTTTGGCAAAGCTTCACTGAGCACAAGGGCTTGAACAGAAAATCAAAGCTCCTGATAACATGATGCTGTCACTTCCAGGCATGGGGGGTATGGGGGACAGGACAGATACAGGGGTACAGGGCCTGGGAGGAGTGGCAGCTGGAGGTCACACAGCACACTGATATCAAAGATTGGAGTAGATTGCAATAGGCACTTTTGCAGTCAGCTGTTAGAAAGCAAATACCTTCATTTCTGGCTCAGAGACACACCTGGAAAGCAAGGAGGATGTATCAAAAGATAGTGAAGGTCTCTTTCCTATGCAGTGTAAAAGATTCAGAATCAAGAGTCAGAAGCTTTAATTTTAGTTCATTGTAAACATAGCATAATTCGCTCTCCTAGTTTGGGTCTCCTCTTCTTTATGGCAACTCTCTTGTTCTCCCTGGGCTCCTCAATATGGTGTACTTTTTAAAAGTCACAATACTTTTTCCACAGATATTTTATCCCTCTTGGGCAATTTGGAGAGGGTGTGATCCCTGTATCTTTTATAGCTCCCTTTCTCACTAAGCTTTTGCTATGCCTGGGCACCCCAAAGCACTGATTGCCCCAATCACAAGGTCAATACAAAAAGAATTTTGTAGTCCCTGGTGTCCTGGAAGCCTCTCTGTTTCTAAGGAAGCCAAATGAATCACCCCTCTGCATGCTTTACTCTTTTTACTTGATGTGAAAATACCCACAGTTGTCAGTATCACAGTTTATTAATGTGGAATTCTCTGTGGGGTTTACAGACACTAAATTGTCTTGTGCTAACCAGATGAATCACATTGACAAAAGAGGAAAAAGAAGAAAAGAAACTGAGATAGGAGAAGCAGAGGAGCCCACTTAAAACTATAAAGTACTTTCTCCCCTTTCTTCCTTTCCCTGCTTTATTTTTCTCCATACTACTTCTCACCTTCTAGCACAATAATTTACTTTTTAGTATAGTGTATTGTGTTTTTTTCCTATCCCTTTAGATTATAAATTCCAAAATGGCAGGGTTATCTTTTGTTTTATTTATATTTTGTTTGGTTCACTCCTTTGCCCCCACAATTGGAAAGTATCTGGCACATACTAAGCACTAAATAGATGTTTGTTGTTGAAAGAATGAAGACCTCTGTGCAACTTACCTGGTCCTTTCTCATCTGCTAATGAAGGTAAAAGGTTAACAGAAAAGGAGGGAAGGAGAAAGTGAGAAAGAGAAGGAAAGAGAGAGAAAAGGAAGAGGTTAAGGAGCAAACAGGGACATTGACAGTGCTTTTATTGGCACTTTTCATAAATGTTGTTTTATTTCATCTTCTCAACACCCTGAAAGGCAGAAGCAATTGTTTTCCTTCTACAGATAGGAAAGTTGAGGTTTGATTCTCCCAGAACAGATAAAAAGGGCTCTGCTGAGCATAGATAGCCAACTTCCCATTAAAAACAAGTATCTCTCTGGGCCGGTCCGGTGGCGCACTGGAGAGTGCGCCGCTTGGGAGCGTGGCGGCGCTCCCGC